GCAGACTTGCTCACCAAGCTGGTGTGTTTGAGTGCAGACTTTTCATCACCCTGCTAGCTAAGGTTGTCAGTGCACCTCCGGTGAAACTTTGGTGTACCGTCCCGCTTGTTATTTATATGCCTCAGTTTTCTGGGGTGGTTGGTATTACTTCTGGTTTTGTTCTTCAGTAGTTTGTATATAGGGTCCAGTTCAATGTGTTTGTTGACAGAGCTCTGGTTGGAATGCCAGGCCTCCAGGGATTCAGTGGCATGTCTCTGTTTGGCTTGTGCTATTATGGATATGCTGTCCCAGTCAAATTCCTGCTTTGTCCATGTGTATTGAAAGCAGTCAGAATTGGTCATGTCTGTTGGTGGTTAGTTGGTGTTCGTGTATCCTTATTGCCAGCTTTCTTCCAGTTTGGCCTACGTAATGTTTCTCACAGTCCTTGCATGGTATTTTGTATATTACATTAGTTTTATTGGTTGTGGGTATGGGATCCTTTATGTTTGTCAGTAGCAGTCACAGGATGGTTGTTGGTTTGTGGGCTACCCCGAAGCCTAGGGCAAAAATACCATGCAAGGACTGTGAAACATTACATAGGCCAAACTGGAAGAAAACTGACAATAAGGATACACGAACACCAACTAGCCACCAAGAGACATGACCAATTCTCACTGGTCTCGATACACAAGGACAAAGAAGAGACGAATTTGACTAGGACAACACATCCATAATAACACAAGCTAGACAGACATGCCAGGGAATTCCTGGAGGCCTGGCATTCCAACCGAACTCCATCAACAAACACATTGAACTAGACCCGATATACAAACCACCGAAGAACAAAACCGGAAGTAATACCAACCACACCAGCAAACTGCGGCATATAAATAACAAATGGGACGGAACACCAACGCTTCACTGGAGGCGCATGGACGATGTAGCCTAGCAGGGTAACGAAACTTCTGCAACCGGATCAGCGAGCAATTCTACAACCTCAACTTTATGTTTGAAAGTGAACTAGTTTAATCTGAAGCAAGGGTATTAAAATTTGAATACGGGAATTAAGAAAGCATGAGGCACAGGTTGGCTGAGCTGGATTGGGAAAATATCCCAAAAGGCATAACTGTACATAGGCAATGGATAGTGTTTAAAGAACTATGAAGTTTACATTCCTTCAAGGTTGCAAAATATCAAAAAACATCAGTCAACTGTTGTTGATAAAGGAAGTTAGGGATTGTGTAAGATTGAAAGAAAAGGCTTATAACGTGGCCGAAAGTATTAATAAATCTGAGGTTTCGAAATTTTTTTAAAAATCAGCAAAGGAGAACCAAGAAACTAACGAGTAGTGGAAGTATACAAACAGAATCCAGCAAAAAGCATGAAAATGGACTATAAAATCTAATACAGGTATGTAAAAAGGAAGCAGCTGACAGAGAAGAATGAGGGTCTGTTAAAAGCAAGGCTAGGAAAATTTATAACGAGAATCGAGAAATTGCAGAGAAGCTAAATGATTAGAATCACAGAATTGCTACAGCGTGGATGCAGGCCATTTGGCCTATCGAGTCACACCAACCCGCTGAAGAGCATCCCACCCAACCCATCCCCTACCCAATCGCTGTAACCTTGCATTTCCCATCCCTGGACACCTGGGCAATCCACCTAACATGTACATCTCTGGACAGTGGGAGGAAATCAGAGCACCTGGAGGAAACCCACGCAGACAAGGGGACAATGTGCAAACTCCACAAAGACAGTTACCCGAGGTTGAAATCGAACCCTGGTCCCTGGTGTTGTGAGGCAGCAATGCTAACCATTTGACAAAAACAGAAATTTTTGGAAAAGCTCAGCAGGTCTGGCAGCATCTGTGGAGAGAAATCAGAGTCAACATTTCGGGTTGAGTGACCCTTCCTCAGAACTGACCCAAAATGTTAACACTACTTCTCCCCACAGATGCTGCCAGACTTTTCCAGCAATTTTTTTTTTTGTTTCTGATTTACAGCATCTGCAGTTATTTTGGTTTTTATTTAGTGCTAGCCACTTACTTTGTGTCTACTTTCACTGAGGAAGATATAAAAAAATCTCCCAGAATTACAGATCCAAATGACTAGGGAGAATGAGAAATTAAAGGAAAATAGCAGCATTGAGATGATCACACTGGAGAAAGCTGCTAAGTCCCCAGGACTTGAGACTGTATATCCAACAAGTTGATGGGAGGTGGTTATAGTGATAGTCAATACATTGGTAACCATCTTCCAAAATTCCACTGATTTTGTACTGAATCCTGCAGATTAAAAGCCAGCTAATGTCATTCCACCATTGAAGAAAGAAGCAAAGAGGAAAAGAAGGGAACTACAGACCCATCAGCCTTACATCAGTCATATGTAAGATGCTAGAATTTATCATAAGGGACATAATAGAATGGACATAAAATAAATGTATATGCTGGAAATCTGAAACAAAAACAGAAATTGGTGCAGAAACTCAGCAAGTCTGGCAGCATCTGTGGAAAGAAAGCAGAGTTAACATTTCAAGTCCAATGAACCATCTTCTCTTTCACAATAAATGGACACTTGGCTAAAAATAATCTGATTGTACATAATCAACATGGATTGATGAATAAAATATCATGCTTGACGAATTTGGATTTTTTTTGACGATGTTATTAAAAAAAAAAAATTGACGAAGGATAGTTGATAGATGCAGTATATTTAGCATTTCAGAAAGCTTCTGATCTGGTCATAGAGTCAGACAGCATGGAAACGTGGTCAGCAAAATTATTGTTCACGGTTTCAGAGCAATGTACCGGCATTGATTAAGGAATGGCTAAGAGACAGGAAACAGACAATAAGAATAAACAGGTCATTCTTAGGTTGGCAGATTATAACTAGTGTGATACTGCAAGGATCGGTACTTGGACCCCAACTGTTTACAATACAGGTCAAGATTTAGACACGGGGACCAAATGTAATATTTCCAAATTTGCAGATGATACAAGCTAAGCAGGAATGTGTGTTGTGATGAAAATGTAAAACATTTTCAGGAGGATTCAGACAGGCTTAGACATGGCAGATGGAATACAAATGGAAAATGCGAAGTTATCCAGTTTGGTGGGAAGAACAGATGTGCACAGTATTTTTTTTAAAAGGTGAAAAGTTAGGAAGTGTAGATATGCAAAGGGACTTGGGTGTCTTTGTCAACAAGTCACTGAAAGCTAACATGAAATTCCAGTTCCGAAGAAGGGTCAGTGCACCCAAAACATTAACCCTGCCTTCTCTCCACAGATGCTGCTGGAACTGCTGAGTTTCTCCAACAATTTCTGTTCTTGTTTATGAATTTCCAGCAAGTTATTAGGAAGGCTAATTTAATATTAGCCAAATCGCAAGAATATTTGATACTAGAGAAGCAGAGTCTTACGTCAACTGCATAGGAGTTTGGTTAGATTGTACCTGGAGTACTGTATACAGTTTTGGTCATCTCATCTCATGAAAAATATTACTGTCACAGCGGGAGTGCAATGAAGGTTAACCAGATGGCAGGATTGTCCTATGAGGAGAGATTGGGTAAACGGGGCTCATACAGGTCAGGAATCCTTCATTGTAAACCTTGGGATCAACTGTTTCTTGGATAAAGGATATTTTCGGTTTTAGGATACACTTACCTATAGTATAGGTTTGATCAGGACCTTTGGGGGGAGACAAAGTCATGCTTGGTCCGAATGCACCTATGGATACACTGAGTTTGGGCTTTTTGGGAACAAATCTTGCTCTTAGGTCCGTTCAGACCATCCAAAGACTTTTTATGAAGGACCTGAACTCAGCATGCCTTCGACTCTCTTTGGGTCCACATGTGAAATGACCTTCTGTTTTCAGGTCTTTTCAATTTTTGGACATACAAATGAAAGATATCCAAATATCTAAAGGTTCTCCAGAAGTTTGAAAAATGAGCAGTAATCTCATTGAAACCTACAAAATATTTAAATGGATAAACAAGGTAGATGCAGCTAAAATGTCTCTGCTGGTTGTGAAGTTTTATACTGGGGTCACAATTTAAAATATGGAGAATACATTTAGGACTGAGATGAGGAATTTTGTTCTTACTCAGAAAGTGATATATCTTTGGAATTCCCCAACCCCAGACAGCGGTGGAAGTTCAGTCTTTTGAGTATATTTAAAGCAGAGGTTAATAGATAGCCGATTGCCAGTGGTGTAAAAGCTCATGGGGGCAGTGTGCATAAAAGGCATTGAAGTATTCAAATCAGCTGTAATCGTAACACATGGTGGAAGAGGTGTGAGGGGTTGTTCTATGTTCTTACGTTTTTGTATATTTTCTCAATCCATCACAGTGAACTTGCCCTTTATGCCTTCATAGTTTTCTTTGCTCAGATTTAAGATATTATTTTCAGAATAAACTATACCAGCTTGGGATTTAAAGGATAGCACTTCCAGCAATGCAACATACCCTTGATCCCACATCAAATTATTTGCCTGGATTCTGGGCTCGTCTCTTGATGGAAGGTTGAAAATATGACCTTGTAACTGGGGGCAAAGTGAGACTACCCAGCCACAATTGATGGGCTGTGGTCACCTGAGTAACTTTCTTTACTGTAAAAGCTAAGCATAAATTTAAAATTAAGCAATGGATGTGAAACATTTTGAGATGTTCTTAGGCTGTGAAAGGAATCGTAAAACAAAAGTGTTTTCTTTCCTCCTGAAGCACAACCTAGTGCATCTAACAGTACTTTCAGTGAAAAGGGAGAACATTGAGGTTTCTCATTTAAAATTAACACAAAATATGAAGATTGATGAGCATCACAAACAATAAGAAAGAAAGAAAAAAAAAAATGAGCTTAAGAAAAGAAGATGAGTTGCTACTGACACTAATGAAAGGTCAAAGAGCTATACAAAGTACCACAATAGAATGTAATGGATCCACAACTAAATTGAGATGGGTAATCTGACTCACTTTCAGGAATTCCAAATTCCCTTCAGACAAATTAAACATTAAATATCCTACAGTACCTTTTTGTTGTCCCACAGCGGTTTGGATAGTGATTTATCAGTCTCTGACGTAGTCTCTTCCATCCCAGGAACCGTTAATAATAACACTGAGCGGTGAGAGAGAGGGGGAGAGAGAGAGAGAGAGAGAGAGAGAGAAATAAAAAGAGATACACACACAATAAATGGTTGAAGAACTAGACAAGACACAAAATAAAACAGGAAGAAATGCACTGTTCCCACTATCACCAATGTCTCTAATGCACAGAAGACTACTCAATGCTGTCAGATTTTTTCTGAAACTTTTGCTCATACTCAAGGGAGGGATATTGGTGGCAGAGGGAGGCCCATTGGTATCTGATGAACCAAATGCCAACTAGGATTCAGGATTCGCAGCATCAGTTGGGACTGAAGTATCTTGATTCAAATAAAAATGAACAGTCAAACACTGCAGCTAGAAATGGATTTCATTCAGAAAACCTGAGTCACCTATTAAGCAGAAAATAGGAACTTTTTCTTTCATAACCCATTCAGTGCTCTCTTTCGCTTCATGTTCCTTCAACATCCTGTGCCTGGTTCCTGATAACTGCAGTACAAGAACTCTTCCCCTTTCATCTTTTTTCTAATTCTCCCTTCAACCTAAGCAATGAGGAGGTTTCACAGCTCAATCTAATCTGATCCTCACATGCACTGTTCAGCATTACTGACAGACAGGGACAAGAGTTGAATTTCCCCCTTCTCAGGGACAGGGTATGGAGGTTAAGTATAGAGCCACAAAGGCTACATGCAAGCACAGACTGGAGGGGAAATTGGAATACCTGTGGGTTGGAAGCACATTCATCCTAAGCCTCAACAACTGAGTTCAGCTCTTCTTCACAAGTACTTACACGTCAGACTTTTGAACAGAGACAGAGAAACAAGCTTTCAATATTATTTAGACCTGCATCAAGTTCACCTAAGAGGATGTTCTGAATCCAGGTATAATTCAAGAGCCTGTTGAATTTCAGATGGGAAATCCAAACAGATCTAACTTTGAGCTCTTCCAGTGACACAATGGACAGCTACATACCAAAGAACACTTAACATGATGTTAATATTGTACTTACACTGTCAAGAACAAGCTTAGCAGAGCTCCATTTTCAACAAAGCAGGGAGTGCAAATCAGACAACTTCACCACTAATACAGCAATCATTGAAATAATGAGATGTACACAATACACGTTGCACATGATACTGCCTAAAGAACCTAATCAATATCTGCTCAACTGATCAATACTTACCTTATAGATATATGCTAAACAACTGATCATTATCTGCACCATAGTAAACCAGCCAACCTCAGCTGCAGCCCAGTCAACTTCACTAACCTACTTGTAACAGATGCATGTATCTGTCTGGATTGGGAGGAATGACAACTGCAGTCTTTGTGGAGACACCGAGCACATCTCTCATCTTTATTTAGCAACACCAGTGTGTTAAATGGGAGAAATTCAGAATGGATCCTGCAGCTCATGGGTAGGTATCCACAAGGTGCTGTGGGCCACTGGAAGCAGCAGAATCATAGTCCAACACAATATTGATCCTCATGACCTGATATACCCCCAACCACCGTTATCATCAAGCTAGGGGATCAACCTTAGTTCAAAGAAGAGTGCAGGAGGCCATGCCAGATCAGCACCAGGCATATCTTAAAAATTAGGTATCAATTGGTGAAGCCTCAGAACAGGACTACTTGCACACTGGACAGCATAAGCAGCAAGTGATAAACAGAGCATAGTGGTTCCATAATCAATGGGTCAGATTTACGCTCTGCAGTCCTGCCACACACTGTCATGAATTGTGGACAACTGACCAACACACTGGAGGCGGCTCCACAAATATCCCCACTCTCAATGACGGGGGGTCAAATCAACAGTGCAAAAGATAAGGCTGAAGTATTTGCAACGAGCTTCAGTCAGAAGTACCAACTGAATGATCCAATTCGGCCTCCTCCAAAGGTCCCTATAAATGCTAGTTTTCTGGTTATTCAATTCATTCCACATGATATCAAGAAGTAGGTGAAAGCACAGGATACTGCAAAGGCTGTGGGCTGAGGGGGAATCTCATTGAAACTTACAGAATACTGAGATGTCTGGAATAGAGTGAACATGGAGAAGATTTTTCCACTTCTAGCACATGGACTGCAGCTGTTCAAGAAGGTAGCTCTCTGTCACCTTCTAAAGGGTAATTAGGGATAGGCAATAAATGTTGGTCAGCCAGTGATGCCCATGTCTCATAAGTATAAAAATAGTGGGAGGAGAGACTAGGACCCAAGGGCACAGCCTCAGAGTAAAGGGACCATCCTTTAGAGCAGAAGTGTGGAGGAATTTTTTCAGCCAGAGGATGGTGAATCTGTGGATGCTGTTGTTGCAGATCGCTGTGGAAGTCGAGCCATTGAGTTTCTTTCAGACAGAAATAGATAGGTTCTTGGTTTGTAAGGGGATCAAAGATTAAGGGGAGAAGGCAAGAGAATGGGGCTGAGAAACAAATCAGCCACTATTGAATGGTACAGCAGATTTGATGGGCCAAATGGTCTAATTCTGCTCCAATATCTTATTGTCTTATTTTATGATAACATTCCAGCAATAATAATGAAGACTTGCGCTCCAGAACTAGCTGCTCGCCAACAAAGCTGTTTCTGTAGACCTACAACACTGGCCTCTAATCAGTGGAAATTTGTCTAGGAGTGCCTGCACTCAAAACCAGGTCAAATCCATGCTGGTCAATTATTGCTCCATCAGTCCACTCTCAATCAGTATGCAAGGTTTCATCAACAGTGCTCTCAAGCAGCACCTGCTCAGAGAGGCCCAGTTTGGGTCGATCAGGGCCACTCAGCTCCTGACCTCATTACAGACTTGGTTCAAACATGGACGAATGAACTGAATTCCAGAGGTAAGGCGATAGTGACAGCCCTTGACGCCAAGTGTGCCATCAAGAAGCCCTGGCAACCTGCAATCAATGGGAATCGGGGGCAAACCTCTCCAGTGGTTGGAATCATATCTGGTATATAGGAAGATGGATGTGGTTTTTGGAGTTCAGTCATCACAGCTCCAGTCTCTGCAAGTGTTCCTCAGGGTACTGTTCTAGGCCCAACCATCTGCTGCTGCTTCATCAATAACCTTCCTGCTATCATAAGGTCAGAAGTGTGGATGTTCACCGACGATTGCACAATGTTCAGCACGATTCCCGACACCTAGGATACTGAAGCAGTCTATGTTCAAATACAACATGATCTGGACAATATCCAGCTTGGGCTGAAAAGTGGCAAGTAATATTTGCGCTACACAATGCAGGCAATGATCATCTCCATTAAGAGACAATCTAACCACCATTCCTTGAAACTGAATGGCGTTACCGTTGCTGAATCACCCACTACCAATATCCTGGGCATAACCATTGACCAGAAACTGAACTGGACTAGCCGTTTTTCTGATGAAGGGTCTAGGCCCGAAACGTCAGCCTTCCTGCTCCTATGATGCTGCTTGGCCTGCTGTGTTCATCCAGCTCTACACCTTGTTATCTTAGCCGTATGAATGGAATGGTCTAAGAGTAGGTCAAAAACAAGGAATATTGCAGCGAGTAAGTCACCTCCTGACTTCCAAAGATTGTCCACCACCTACAAGGCACAAGTCAAGAGAGTGATGGAATAGTCTGCACAACACCCAAGCAACCTGACACCAACCAGAACAAAGCAGCCCGCTTGATTGGCACCACATTTATAAACATTGACTCCCTACAATACCGACACTCAGCAGGAGCAGTATGATTATTTTAGCAGGCAAATTTGTGCAACTGAGAATGCAAAATCTTCATCTCCCTATCGCAATAGTGAAACAGATCGACGACCACACTGCCAAAATTGAAACTTCACAACTAGTAATTATGTTGTTTCAGGTAGTTAGCTGTACCATTCACAGCAGCAAGTAAATGGCTTCACGTTGCACTGCAAAAATTCACCAAGGCTCCTTAGATTGTACCTTCCAAATCCACAACTGCTTCCATCTAAATGGACAGGGGCAGCAGGTACATGGGAACACCACTACCTGCAAGTTCCCCTCCAAGCCACTTAGCATCCTCACTTGGAAATATATCGCCATTCGTTCAGTGTTATTGAGTTAAAATCTTGGAATTCCCTCTTTAATGACATTATGGGTCTACCTTCAGACTTCATAGACTACAGCGATTCAAGAAGGTATCTCACCATCATCTTGTCATGGGCAACCAGAGACTGGCAATAAATGCTGGCCTACTGAATGACGCCCAGACCCAAGTCAATAAAGAAAAATAATGACCTAAAATAGTCCTCACTCTACCATCATTACCAAACCAGGGACCAAGTCTTGTTGAATGAGAAACCAATTATGATACAAATGAATTCCATAAGTAAGAGTAACAGTCTCCAGACGAAGACAAGAATCCTATAATGAAACAAAATCAATTACGAGTATGAAGGAAAAATCAATAGGGTCGATGGGGTAAACAAAGTAACAGAACGTTAGAAAACAGTGGAAAACATTTCAAGAAGCAAAAGCAATTCAAAATGTTCAAGCAAAAACAGTATCAAAATAAAAAATAAAACAAAAACTCAGGGAGAAAGATTCATCTGTGGTTTATTAAAGAAATTAATATAAATAATAGATTGAAAGAGGTTTAGAATTTTCAATAGAGATGTAGTCGTAACCCCATGATTTGGAAGTGGATAATCCAGCATAAGAACAGCCAAGGAGTTGTTAAAAAGAGAAAAAAAAATAGAATGTCTATAAATATGAAAGTAGACCGTGAACAAATTACACAAAAATTACAAGGTATATTGACCTTCATGACTGAGAATTTGACGATATAAGTAAAGATGTTCTGCTGCAACTGTATAAAGTCTTGGTGAGACTGCACCTGAACACTGTCTACAATTTTAGTTCTCCTTATCTAAGGAGATAAATATTTGCCAGAGGGCCTGTGATAGACGTTCACCAGATGAATGGGATGGCAAGAATGTGCCATAACCAGAGAAATTAATAAAACCAGACATGTAACTGCTAGAGTTTCAAAGAATGAGAAGTGATCGCACTGAAAATTACAAAATTCTTCAGAGGATATGACATGGGGGTGTAGAAAGGATGTTTCTCTTGGCCAGCAAAGAACCATGAAATACAAGCCATTTGAGACTGAAATGAGGAGGAATTTTGATATGCAGAGGGTAGTGAATCTTTGGAATTCTCTACCTCAGAGGGCTGTAGAAAATCAAAGATTGAATATGTTCAAAACAGAAATCAACTGAATACTAATACTAATACTAATGATTTGGATTTGGAGATAACGTGCAAAAGTGATCTTGGAATGAAAGGTGGATCAGGCCTGACAAGATGAATAGTCTACTTCCGATGCTATATTCCTATCCCAGAAATGCAGGGTAACTAGGGATCTTATAAGAATGAGGAAGTGAACATCAGAGGATTGAATCTTTGAATGATCTTCCCCAAACAGCAGTGGAAGTGGTGTTATTGAACTTTTCTAAGGCAGAGGTAGATAGATTGTTGCCCCTCAAGGAAGTCAAATGTTGTCAGGGTTAGTTGGGACTGGGGATTTGTATGATCTTACTGAACAGCAGAGCAGGTTTGAGGGGCCAAATGATCTATTTCTGCTCTTAATTCATACGTGTATGTCATCCATGTCAACAAAGAGAAGGTGGAGGAGAAACACAAGGGACTAAATCTGCACAAGTTTCCAGGTCATAATGGTCTACATACAAATGTTCGAAAAGATGCAGCAGCAAAGACAGTGAGCGCTCTGACATCATCTTTCAGGCTTTCCTAGTACCAACAACTGGAAGTTACCAAATGCAACTCCACTGTTCACGAAAGTAGAGCAGAAGCAGGGAACTGCAGGTCGGTTATCCTATCAATATTTTTCAAAATGATGAAATCTATTAAGGAAGTTGTAGTATTGCATTTAAAATTTAGAGTATGTTCAAATTCAACAAGGTTTTACAAGCAGAAAATCTGTTTAACAACTAAGATTTTGTTCAGGATTTATCTAGTAAGGTAGATAAAGAGGAATCAGATGTAGTATACACAGATTTTCAAATGGCATTTGATAAGGTACACAAAAAAAATGTTAATGCTGAAATATGGGTTCACAGAGTTGGGGGTAACATATCAATATGGTTGAAGGATTAGTTAATGGAAAGGAAGCAGAATAGAAACGAACGAGACATTTTCAAGTTGGCAGTGTGTATTTGTGGAATGCTGCATGGATAAGTGTTGGGGATTCAGCTATTAACAATCTATGATAATGACTTTAACAAGAAGACTTAAAGTAATACATCTGTGTCTGCTATTTATACAAAAGATGAATTATGTAAGGAGCACAAAAAGAGGCTGCAAAGAGATGTGGACAGAGTAAACGATTGAGAAATGAAGAGGCAGATGGAGTGTAATGTGAGGAATTGTGAGCTTACTCAAAATGGTGGTAAACATTTTTAAAAATGCTAAACTTGTAAATATTGTTCATAGAATCCCAAGTGTGGAAGCAGGCCATTCTGCCCATTGAGTCCACACCGACCCGCCGAAGAGCATCCCACCCAGATCCACCACCCTATCCTATCCCTGTAACACTGCATCTCCCATGGCTAATCCACCTAGCCTGCACATCCCTGGATATTATGTGCAATTTAGCACAGCCAATTCACCAAACCTGCATATCTTTGGACTGTGGAAGGAAACTGGAGCACCCGGAAGAAACCCATGCAGACATGGGGAAAATATGCAAACTCCACATACAGTCACCCCGAGGGGAGAATTGAACCTGGGTTCCTCAGTGCAAACCACTGTGCCTCCCTTATTGTTGTACGGGCTGACTTGGATCTAAGTATGTAAGGAACACAAAGTTAGCATGGAGGTACAGCAAACAATTAGAAAAGTATCATATCTGCCTTGATTTCAAAGAAATTGGAGTACAAGCATAATATGTCTAGTTACAATCGGATAGGGCTTTGATGAGACCACACCTACAGTTTTGTGCTCCATACTGAAGTAAAGATATCTTAGCATTAGAGGCAATACAACAAAGTTTCATTAGATTAGTTGCTGAGGTGAGGGAGTTATCTTTTGAGGAGAAATTGAATAAATTGGGCCTAGATACACGAGTTTAAAATGACAGGTGAGATCTTTGAAACACAGATTTGTGAAAAGGCTTGACAAGTTAGACACAGTAGTGGTTTCCTCTGGCTGGGGAATTCTGAACATGATGGCACTCTCTCAGGGTCAGGGGCTGATTATTTACGACTATGGTGTAGAGAATTGACTTCGTTCAATGGGATATCAATGTTTGGAATTCTCTCCACGGAAGGTTGAGGATGCTTCATGATTAAATAAATTTAAAACTAAAATAGGCAGATCTTTGATTACTCAGGGAATTGAGGAATATAGGGAATGGGCACAAAAATGTTGAGTTGGAAGAGTAGCCATGACCAGCCTGAATAGCAGAGCAGCCTCAAGGGAATGTATTGTACACTCCTGCTCCTCTATCTTATGGTCTGTGTAGATAACTATGCAGCTGTGTCAGGCATACATAAAACTGAGGTATAAGGGGAGCCAACCTCATGATGCTTGGATACAGAACTGCGCGCATGGGCAGAAGAAGCATGCTACTAACTGAACTAAATGTTCGAACAACCAACAGATCAGATCAAGCTTGCAGTCCTCTCATATCTTGTTGTGATTAACGGTGGACAATAGAAGAACAGGCTCCATAAATATCACCATCCTGAATGGAGGAGGAATCCAACAATGTAATAGACAAGTTGTAAATATTTTTGCAACCATCGTCAGCTAAAAGTGCGAGGTGGATGATTCACTCAGCCTTCCCGAGGTGCCCATCTCAAATGCTAATCTTCAGCCAATTTGATTTTATAGAGTCATAGAGTCCTACAGCATGAAGACAGACCCTTTGGCCCAAACTGGTCCTTGCTGACCAAAATGTCCATCCACACTAAGCCCATTTCCCTGCTCTTGGCCCATATCCTTCTAAACCTTTCCTATTCATGTATTTGTCCAAATGCCTTTTAAATGTTGTTAACGTACCCGCCTCAACCACTTCCATCGGCAGCTCATTCCATATGCATACCATCCTCTACATAAAAAATTTGCCCCTCAGGTTCCCATGTATTCTTTCCCCTCTTATCTTAAACTAATGCCCTCTAGTCCTTGATTCCCCAACCCTGGGAAAAAGGCTGAGTGCATCCACCCAATCCATGCCTCTCATGATCTTATACACTTCTAGAAGATCCCCCCTCAGTCTCTTATGCTCCAAAGAAAAAAGTCCTAGCCTGTCCAACCTCTCCCGATAACTCAGTCTCTTGAGTCCTAGCAACGTCCTTGTAAATTTCTTCTGTATTCTTTCCAGTTTAATAACATCCTTCCTATGGCAAGGCGATCAAAACTAAACACAATACTCCAAGTGCAGCCCAACTTCTGTACTCAATGCCCTGACTGATGAAGGCCAGTGTGCCAAAAGCATTCTTCACTGCCCTGTCTACTTGTGACTCCATTTTCAGACACCTATGCATCTGAACTCCAAGGTCTCTCTCTTCCACTATACTTAAGGCCCTACCCTTCACCATGAAACTCCTACCTGGATTTGACTTTCTAAGCTGCAACTCTTCACACTTATCTATATTAAACTCCATTTGCCACTTCTCAGCCCACTTCCCCAGCTGATCAAGATCCTGCTGCAATTTCTGATAACCTTCCTCACTGTCCACGATACCTCCTATTACCCCACATGGTATCAAGATATGGCTTAGCACACTGCATACAGCAATACTTATGGGGCCCTGATGACATCCTTGCTCGTCATTCTTATAGGTAAGCTATTCCGGCACAGCTGCAAAATTGGTATCAATCTGACAATGTGCTGGTCTCAAAAAGCAGTATAAGTCAACTAGTCAATTATGAGCTGCATAACTGACTGTTAGCAGCAAAGTGATAAAAGTATATTCGCAATAGTGATTTCAAATAGTATCACGCAGCCATAAGCTGCTCCCGTGCTCAGTGTGGGCTCCACCAATGCCTTGATCAACTAGCTTTCTAGAAGGTCTGTAATCTGGTATAATCCAAACTTTAGCAAGCCAATTTCCAATGGAGTAAGCTTGCTATTGCTCCTACCTGGGTATAAAAATGGTGATATGAAATCTGAGACTGCTGCTTGTGCTTTAAAATACAGAAAAACACAGCAGTAATATCTGCAACACAAACAGCTATTTCTCTCTCCTCAAAAGGTGCTGCTTTCAAGATTCTGAGGCTTTAAATGAAGAGCCTGTTAGTTTATGTTTGTCAGTGTGTGCACTTGAGACAAATTATTATAAATATTAAATGCATTAACTTTCTGTAAGAAAGGCCAATGACAGACGCCCAAGTGGGTGCAGTTTTGATTGGAGGGTCAACACCCTCAGTTTGAACATGCCTCACCTCGCTTATGCTGCTCTTGCGTTTCTTGGGAACCCCCATTAAATGGATCCTGTGCGGTAGGATTCATCGTGCTCTGGTGTAGAGCAGAATCTGAATTGGTCCTGAAATTAAAATAAATTTGTGACAATCAGCTGTAAGTGTGACAGACTGAGTAAACCAGACAGATTAGAAAACAAACAGTAAAAGGAGGTTAAAAAAGCTTAACTCTAAGAAGGAGAAGCTTCTGTACAGTCCATGTACTAAAGGACAGTGACAGTCCTGCCATCATTCCTAATTCTTTGTGGACACCCAACAAAATGTCAGTCAGTCATGCTTTTTGGGAGGAGGAATGTAAATCAGTTTAATGCTCAGAACTGAGCAGACATCGAAAAAGTGGGTATGAAAAGTATTACCCCCTTGTCCTAACGGCTTTTCTCTGCCCCCTCTATCTCCTCCTACCTGCATTCAGTAAGCCACCTGCACTTGTTCCCCTGGAATGAGAGCCACTCTTCCGCTCTTCCTCATTGTCTCTGGGAACAGCCTAACTGCCCCCCCCACCAATCTTTGCAGCTGGCATCAATGTCAAAATATGGCAAGCTATTAAACTCCAAGCTCAAATCACATGAACATTTCATTATTACAACAGGTGGGTTTCAACAGATAGACTGAGATTGGAACTTTCATTTAAGAAGCATCACTCACCTTCGCCAGCTGGTGTCAGCTGGGGGCGACAGATAGACCGAACCATATGGACAGCTGTCTGCGTGCTGTGGAGTCAAGGAAACTTCAGAGAACAGAACGGATTCTGCAACAAACTGTTCACTGCGCAGAAAATTGAACATTTTACACAGAGCTCCTCTCCTCTGGAGCAATACCTACTGTAATAATAACCCAACTGAAACCTTCCCTCACCAAGCAATCTTACTTCAATCTCTTTAACATCACTCAACTCTGTCAATGCCTCAGTGCATCTGCTGCTTAAATCCTAATCCATGCCTTTGTTATCTCTGAAATCATGGAACAAAACAGTCCTGAAGACAGTCATTTGGTCTACTGAGATCTATTGACTCTTTCAAAGAGCAATCAAGTCAGACCACTTCTCTACTTTGGTCCCACGTCCTTAGAATTATTTTTCTCTCAGTACTTATCCAATATTCTTTGAAGACACTACTGAATCTGCATCCAGCAGTACATTCCAAATCCTACTTAAGTTTGCAAACATTTCTTCCTTCATGTCAACTCTGATTCTTTTGCCAAAAATCTTTTCTCTCCTTTGTCATTTTACTCTAAGGACTACACCTCCGGGTTCTCTAGTCTATCCACTTTACTGTAAGCTCTCATTTCTGGAACTATTTCAGAAACTTCTTCAATACCCCGACACAATTCTTTAAGCATCGTGTTCAGAATTGCATACAACAGTAACTGGGATCAAACTGGAGTTTTGTACAGGCTTACTGCAACTTCCTGACTTTTGTACTCCTTTTCATAAAGCTAAGGATCTCCTTTGCTTTGTTAACTGCTTTCTTAATATGTCTTGTTACCTTTACAGATTTCACCACAAACATCCTCAAGTCTGTTTCTTTTTGCATCCCCTTTAAAACTCTATCCGAAGGCTCTTTTTTTCCTAAAATGATTTACCATTCATTGTCTACACTCAATATCCTGGTTAGTCTAAATTGGCTCCTAATCTGGCAACTCTTCAATTTTAAAATACTTATTTGTGGGTTTGAAAATGTGTGGCCTTACCAATTCCTATTTTTATCAGCTCAACCTGTCCTACAACACTGACATCTCTGCGCTCACCACAACCCTACCCTTTTGCTCATGACCATGAATGCAACTGCCTAGGGCATAAGTTTAGGAATTCTCTCCTGAAACCTCACTATCTCCTTCCTACTATTAAAATGTTCTTATAACCAGCTTTGTTAAATAACTTTTTCATCAGCTACCCCTTTTGCAACATCTTTTTGTGACTAAGTGTCAAATTTTGTTTGGGATCCTCCTGTGGAATACCTTGAGATACCACTTAATCACAAATGGGTTTTCCATTTTGTACTTTGGTCAGGTCAATAGTTCATTAGAGAAACATGCAATTCATTCAATCTAGCCTATTCACTGCACACAATACTGTCTCCTCTATATTAGGGAGATGAAACAAAGACGGGGTGAATGCTTTGTAGAACAACTACGCTTAGCCCTTAAAAGTCACCCCTTAAAGCAATATGTAGAACTTCTAATTGCCTGCCACATCAACAAGCCACTATGTTCTCTAGACAACATTTATGCCTCAAGTAAAATGAAACAAAAGAACTGCGGATGCCGGAAATCTGAAACAAGAACAGAAATTGCTGGAGAAACTAAGCAGGTCTAGCAGCATCTGTAGAGAGAAACCACAGCTAACATTTTCAGTTCAGTGACCCTTCTTCAGGACTTTTCTGAAGTGGATTAGAAACACCTCATCTTCTGCTTGTGGGCATTACAGCCTTTAGGACTCAATATTGAGTTTAATAATTTTAGAGCATGAACATCCCCTTCCATGTCTATTACCCAACCCTACATCTTAGGGCCTGTTAATGAAATGGGTTTCAGCAGTCAACTCATAGCCAAACAAGATTCACTAAACAAGATTCTTTTCATCCATGGCTCACTATCTTAATCCCTTTGTCCGTTCACATTTTTTCCCTTTGTCTCTCTCTGGGCTCCCTCTCCACCTATCTGCTGACTCCATTTTTTCCCAGTCATCAGCATGAATAGCATTAAGGGCCTCACCAACTTCCTCTGGCTCCATGTATAAAATCCCTCGTTTGTCCTTGAGTGGCCCTACCCTTTCCCTAATTATCCTCTTGCTCCTAATGTATGTATAAAATGCCTTGGGATTTTCCTTAATCCTTTAACTGGTTGCAATCAGTTCAGAAAAGGGTCACTGGACTTGAAATTTTAACTCTGTTTTCTGTACACAGATGCTGTCAGACCTGCTGAGTTTCTTCAATAATTCCTGTTTGTGTGTTTTATAACAAAATATACATGATTTTGTTCCCATTGTGGAGATGTGACTGCAGGGTGATCAAGTCGAGGAACTGAATATTAAAGGATATTCTACATTTAGGAGAGACAGGAAAAAAGAAAAGGAGCTACTGATAAGAAGGGATGGGATCAATGGATTAGAGAAAGAGACTCAGATTGGAAAGAAAGGATGTAGTCTGTTTGGACAGATCTAACGAACAGCAGAGGATAGCAAAATTCGGTAGCGGTGGTTTACAAATGCACCCAGGAGGGTTTCTTAAAGCAATATGTAGATAGTCCAACTAGGTAAGGGACCATATTAGACTCTTTGTTGGGGAATGAGCCTGGCTAGGTGATTGAAGTCTCAGTGGGGGATCATTTTGGGAACAACAATCATAATTCTGTAAGTTTTAGGATAGTTATGTATAAGGATAAGACTGGCCCTCAGATGAAAGTGCTAAACTGGAGAAATTAAATTGGGGGTGGATGTTTGAGAGTAAATCCACATTTGACATATGAGAATCTTTTAAAGGTCAGTTGTTCAAAATTCAGAACGAGCATGTTCCTGTGAGGATGAAAGAGGAGGATGGCAATATTCGGGAACCTTGGATGATAAGAGATATTAAAAGTTGAGTCATAAAGAAAAAAGAAACATCCATGAGGTTGAGGAAAATGAAATCAAACAAGACCCTTGGGAATATAAAGGACAAGAAAAGAACTCAAACAAGAAATTAGGAGGGCTAGAAAGGCCACAACTGTCCTTGGCAAACAGGATTAAGGAAAATCCCAAGGCATTTTATACATACATTATGAGCAAGAGGATAACTAGGAAAAGGGCAAGTCCACCCAAGGACAAAATAGGGAATTTATACATGGAGCCAGAGCAAGGTGGTGAGGTCCTTAATGAGTACTTTGCATCGGTATTCACTAAAGAGAAGGACATGAATGATGCTAAGATTAGGGAGGGGTATGTTGCCATTCTAGGACATGCCGATATTAAGGAAGCAATAGTGTTGAGCATCTTGAAAAACATTAAGGTACGTAAGTCCCCAGGGTCAGGCGGGATCAATCCCAGAATACTGAAGGAGCAAGGGACGAAATTTCTGGGTCCTTGACAGAGATCTTTGTATCTTCTTTATCTTCCAGAAGACTGGAGAATAGCCAGTGTTGTTCCTTTGTTTAAGACGGTCAACAGGGATAATCCAGGAAATTATAGGCCACACATCAGTGGTAGGGAAATTATTGGAGAATATTCTTAAGGACACTGTTTACTCGCATTTGGAAAAGAATGGACTTATCAGGGATAGTTAGCATGGCTTTATGCAAGAGATCTGGTATCTCTAACTTGGTTGGGTGTTTTGAGGAAATGATGAATATGATTGAGTGAGGGCCTTCACTAGTCAGTGTGTTGAGTATAAAAGTTTGCAAGTCATGTTGCAGCTGTCTGAGACTTCAGTTAGGCACATTTGAATTATTGTGTGTGGTTCTAGACCCCACATTATAGGAAGGAATAGGAGGCTTTGGAGAGATCGCAGAAGAGGTTTACCAGATGTTGCCTGGATTGGAGCACATTATAAAGGACAGACAGGACAAACTTGGATTGTTTTCCCAGAGTGTCTGAGGCTGAGGGACAACCTGAAAGAAGTACACAAAATTGAGAGCCATGGATAGGGTGGATTGTCAGAGTATTTTTTAAGTCAAATACTAGGGGGCATAAGTTTTAGAGAAAACGGAAAAAGTTTAAGGGAGATGGGCGAGGAAATTTTTTTCTTTACACAGAGGGTGGTAGTTGCCTCGAGTCCACTGCCAGGAAGGTGGTAGAAGCAGGTACATTAGCAAAGTTTAAGAGGTATTTAGATAGACATGTGACAAGCAGGGAATAGAGGGATACGGATCAAATACAGGCAGATGGGATTCGTCTGTAATGGCAACGTGGTTGGCACAGACATGATGGACCAAAGGGCCTGTTCCTGTGCTGTACTGTTCTATGTTCCAAACAGTTGTAGTTACTTAGGGCACGATATTAATCAGGAAATTAGAAGTGCGTGGAGCAAGGAGAATGCAGTAATTGTGGGGGGTTTCAATCTCGATATAAGCTGGATAGAATCCCTACAGTGTGGAAGCAGGCCATTTGGCCCATCGAGTCTATAGTGAGCCTCTGAAGAGCATCTCACTCAAACCCAACCCCTACCCTATCCCTGCATTTACTACTGTCGACACTATGGGCAATTCAGCATAGCGAATCCACCTAACCTGCACATCCTTGGACTGTGAGAGGAAGCCAGAGCACCTGGAGGAATCCCACACAGACACGGGGAGAATGATAATTTTAATGAGCACCAATACTGTGGAGGAAGGATTCCTGCAACGTATTCAGGTTTTTTAAAAAAAAAAGCAATCTGTTGACCAGCCAGGTAGGGAACAGGCTACTTTAGATCTAGTATTATACAATGAGAAAAGGCTAATTAATAATTTAGCTGTAAAACAAATCTTTGGGGAATAGTGACCATAGCATTATATAAGTTTTTGTTGTCTGAAAATATGTAATTCAATTTGAAACCAGGGTGTTGAATCTTAACAAGGACATTATGAAGTCATGAGAAGGAAGATGATTGTTGTTGAATAGAAAAATGGATTAATGATTTAAAGATAGACAGACGATGTCTGGTACTCAAAGAATTACTGCTTAGTTTTCAAAAACCATGTATTTCTTTGAGGGAAAATACACAACAGGAAAAATGACAGCATCGATAGTCGTGGTAAAAAAAAATGTAGTGCTGAGAAATTAGTGCGAAAGAAAGTTGACAAATCCCCCAGACTCAATGACCTTGACCCTACAGTGCGGAAAGAGATTTCAAAATTCCATTAATTCTGCAATGATGTCGGCAGATTGGAAGGTTGTTTGAACAATGGGGTTACATGTGCAAAGAGGGAGAGAGAGAACCAGGGAACTGCAGACCTGGTAATCTGATGTTAGAAGGGAAAATATCAGTACCTAATGTAAATGATGCTATTACTGGATATTTTAAAACATTACTGTCTGATTGAGAATCAGCATGGAGACTCAAAGGGGAAATCATGCTTGATTTAGGTTTTTGAGGATGTAATAATAATAATAATAATAATAATAATAATAATAATAATAATAATAAT